TTAAAATTTATTTTTTTTATTTTAGGGTTAGGGTTTAATTCTTAAAATTTATTTATTTTTTATTTTAGGGTTTAGGATTTATAGTTTAATTCTTAAAATTTATTTTAACTTCAATTTATAAAAAAAATAAAAAATTTAAGGATTAAACTATAAATCCTAAACCCTAAATAAATAAATTTTATCCCTAAACACTAAGGTAGCATTTGGTAATGTTTTATGTTTACAAAAATTTTTATAAATGATTTTTGTTTATTTTTAGAAAAACATAAATTACAAAGCGTTTGCTTAAATAAAAATGTTTAAAAAATTTAAAAACATAAAATAAAAAATATGTTTATTCAGGCCTAAAATATTATATTTATTTTTATTATTTATGACAATGGGATCACACATATTATATAATAATTAAAAAAAATGAAAAAATTTAAATAAAAATTAATTGAAAAAAATTAATTGGGAAAAAATTTGAAAAAAATTTAATTGAAAAAAAGATTAATAAAAAAAAATTAAAAATTATTGAAAATATGGGTCTTATTTTCATATAGTTGATTATTATTTACTATTATAAATTATTATATATATATATATATATATATATAATATTGGTCTTAATTTTATAAAATAAAATTTATATATATTAAAAATTATATTGGTTTGGTGTGTGTGTGTGTGTGTGAAGAGAGAGAGAGATAACATGTGTAAGAGAGGAGAGAGAGAAGAGGAGGGAAGAGTGAGTTTGCATTGAAAGCAGATTCCAAACACGTTTTCTCAAAAAAAATTTACAAAAGTGCGGTTTGGAACACGTTTTATGAAAAAAAAAAAATTTCTTTAAAAACGTGGTTTGTAACCACGCTTTTACTATTTCACAAATTTTTCGCGGGAGATCATAGGAACAGTGAAAGCGTGGTTTGTAATAGCGCTTTAGCCTAGTTTGGGAATTCGTCCAAACTAAGCCTAGTTTGGGAATTAAGTTGTTAATTTGGCTTAATTTGGAAAAAAGGGCTTTTCCCATATTAAGCCAATTTATTATCTTAATTCCCAAACTAGGCCTAGTTTGGACGGAATTCCCAAATTAGGTTAAAGCGCTATTACAAATCACGTTTCACTGTTTGGAGCCGAAATGTGATGAATAGTGAAAGCGCTATTTAAAACCAGCTTTTAAAATAATTTTTTTTTTCAAAAAAACTGGTTGAAAGCAGCTTTTAAGCAAAAAAAAAATTTCTACAGAAACGTGGTTCCAAACCACATTTGTCTTATAATTAAATTTTGTTTTCTGAAGAAAGTGGTTCCAACCAACGCTTTCATGTGCAAATTATTTCCTTAAGAAAACTTTTAATTATATTAAAATGTAAATCAAAAGACTTGAGTTCTTTGTAGCTCAAATGGTATGGCAATTGTTATGTTGAAGAGCAGGGTTCAATCCACGCCAACTCCTTTTTTTTTCCTTTTTTTCTTTTTTTCACTCTATACTAGGGGTGAACAGCGGATATACCCATCTACCGACCGAACCAAACCGATCTGCCACATTTTGACGATGCGTGATGACAAGCAGATGGATGCGGATTGATTTTTCTCAAATTCGCCAATTTGGGCACGGATGGCGGATTTGAGATCTTTGGCCGC